ATCTGAGATTGCAAGGTCTCATAGAATAACAAGTATAGAAAAACAATAAGCTACACCTAGAAACATAAATAATAACATTTAAGAACATCAAAGAAAATAAAAATTCTAAAAGCTTCCAGAGAATAAAGGCTATCACCTACCTAAGAATCAAGAAGCAGATTAACATAAAACTTCTCAGTAGCATCCCTGGTTGCAAAGGACAGTGCAGAGACATTTTTTGGTGTTAAAAGAAAAAAAAAACTGTGAAACTAGAATATTATAGTCAAATAAATTATTGTTTACTTACAAGAGCAAAATAAAGATTTTATTATAGTTATGAGACCCCAAATTGTTTATCACATAAAAACAGTCTGAAAACACATGTGAAGGATATATTTCAAGAAAAAGAGAACTAAATGCAAGGGGAAATTATATGATATGGGAAATAAGTCTGAGTAAATAACTGGTGTCTCTACATGCAATTACCAACATGTGCATGCACAGGCACACACACACACACATGCACATACACACACACACACAAAACAGGAAAAATGAGTACATGATAATTGGAATAACAATCCAAACATTTCCAAAATGGTGGTTGGGAGATTGACTGGAATAGGGGCAAAAAAGGGAAAATAAGAGAAAGAGGAAAAACAAAACAAAAGTGTAGGTAATAAAAACATGAAATAAGATAGTATTAGTAAGTCCTATTAAAACTATGATTGTAATAAATGTAAATGATTTAAACTTTGCTAATAAAAGAAAGGATCTCAAACTGAATAAATGAGAATCAATAAAATTTTGGCTATTATACAGTGAAAAGAAAATGCTTCATAAAAGTAGAAAGTAAAGGGACAGGAAAAAATATACCCATTTCATACCCATCAGATTGGAGGAAATGGAAAATTCTGACAAAACAAAATGAAGGCAAAAATGTAAAGATAAGAATTATTATGCACAAAGACTAAGAGTGTAAGTTAATATTAGTATTTTGGAGAGCAATTTTGCAATATCTTACAAAGTTCCCAGGATCTAGCAATGCCACTACTTGGTAATATTGGTCAAGGTAAATATTGCTAGCTGCTTGATATGTATGGAATTGCGTCCCCCTCAAAATTTATATGTTGAAGTCCTAATCGTCAATACCTCAGAATGTAACTTTATTTGAAGAAAGGTTCTTTAAAGAAGTAATTTATGTTAAATGAGGCTGTACAGATCACTCTAATCCAATCTGACTAATGTCCTTGTAAGAAAAGGAAATTTAGACACACACTGAGAGATGCCAGGGATGTGCATGCACGGAGGAAAGGCCATATGAGGACACAGTGAGAAGGCAGCCATATACAAACCAAGGAGAAAGGTTTCAGAAAAAAAAAAACTTGTGCCAAACACCTTGATTTTGCACTTTTAGCCTCCAAAATTGTGGGAAAATAAGTTTCTGTTGTTCAAGCCACCCAGTCTGTGGGTTTTCTTGTTTTGTTTTGTTTTGTTTTTATGGCAGCCCTAGGAACTTAATACACTGGTGTAAAACAACCTCAAAACATCAGTAGCTGAACAGAACATTTTTTTCTGTGCTCACATAAATCCTAATCTAGTATTCAGGGATGGCCTTCCATCTGGTGATTTCAGGTCCCAAGGTGTTTCCCTCTGGTGGCACCACCATCACCCAGACTGTAGTTCTCCACTGCATCCTCTGTGTGTAACCAGAAAGCAGGAGAGGAGAGAGAAACACTGGAGGATCCTCTATGGGAAGCTTTCATGAGCCAGTACTGGAAACATCATGTATCATTTTTACCCACATTCTACTGGCCAGAAGCCAGTCATATAACATTCAGCTAACAACTGTAACAGAATCTGTGGAATGTATTCCAGCCACAGTGTGTACATAGGAAAAGAAAAGAAAACAGGAATTGTTTAGTACATAGCAGTCTCAGCCACATAGATAAATAACTTAGAGAATATCTCACACATTTGAACAAAGAAGTGTCAAAGGATGGTCAACATGGCATTGTCTGAAATAGCAAATGGGCAGAAAAATCTACATGTACAACACACAAAACTGGGTTTAAAAAAGAGACTTCTTTAAAAGACCTCAAAAGCACAAACCATAAGGCAATAAGTTAATGGATTTAACTGTTAAAACACCAATGATGACATCAAGAGAAGAGTCACAGCCTGGGAGAAGATATTTGCAACATCTAAACTTAAGAACATATCTGAATGCAAAAGAAGGTCCTATTAATTATTAACTCAGGACAATGGGCATAAATCTGGCATATAGTCACCTTATCTAAAACCAACAAGGTATTCGTCACTCAAATACTCACACAACCCCTACAAATCAATAAGAAAATATGGGAAACCTAACAGGAAAGAGGGGGGAAGAGAGAAGGATTGGCAGTTCACAGAAAGAAAAATTGAGTGGCTAGTGCATATACAAGTAGTTTTTCAATGTTAATAGTAATAAGATAAATGCAAAAGAGATAATAACTTGTATCCATCAGATTTGCAAAAATCACAAAGTCAGATAATATCAAGTGTTCATTGGGATGCAGGGAAATGAGAGCCCTCATGCACTTTTGGTAGGTGCCATTCTGAAGAGCAACATGGCCGTACTTTGTGAAGTTATGTATATATTTACCATATGACTCAGTCATTCCACTTCTGGGTATATGCTGTGAGTGGACATATGTGAGGCTGGCTGCTACATTAAGGGTTGGAGGCAACCCACGTGTTCATTACTAAGGGAATGGAGTAACTAAATATAACACATGCACACTGTCAGAATACCATGAAGTAATCAGAAGCAATGAAATTTACTAGATGAATACATACTGGGTTGGCCAAAAAGTTCGCTCGGGTTCTCCATAACATCTTATGGAAAAACCCAATCGAACTTTTTGGCCAACACAATATGTATATATTTTCACATGTATATGAAAAGATCTTAAAAACCTAATATGAATTTTAAAAGTAAATTAAAGATCATAGATATAGACAGCAAACTAGTCATTACCAGTAGGGAAAGGGAAGGGGAAAGGGTATGATAGGGGTAGAGGATTAAGAGGCACAAACTACTGTGTTTAAAATAAATAAGATGGGACTTCCCTGGTGGCGCAGTGAATGAGACTCCATGCTCCCAATGCAGGGGGCCCGGGTTTGATCCCTGGTCGGGGAACTAGATCGCACATGCATGCTGCAACTAAGAGTTGTTCACATGCCACAACTAAGAAGCCCACGTCCCACAACTAAGGGACCTGTGAACTGCAGCTAAGACCCAGTGAAACCAAATAATAAAAAATATTAAACATAAAATAAATAAGCTACAAGGATATATTGTACAGCACAGAGAATAGAGCCAATATTTTATAATAACTCTAAATGGAGTATAATATATAAAATTTTGAATCACTATGCTATACACCTGAAACTAATATAATATTGTAAATCAACTATACTTCAATTTAAAAAATGTAAATTAAAGAATGAAATTGATAGAACAAAGCCATTTATGCAAATGCAAAACACATGCATACACGCAATATTCTTAATGTCTATTGCACATCCAAAGACATATAAGTATTCAAGAGGGGCTGCTTGTGGAGGGGGAAATGAAGAAAGAAATCTTGGTTTGCAGGGGCCTTGATTGGACTGATGAGGGCGGTGGGTCTTGAACTGGTGAAATGACTAGCTAAGAAATGTGCACCTACAACTCCTCCCCCAAATACCCTCAATAAAGGGGAGGTGGTGGTGAGGCATGCAGGCACGAGGACAGGCAGACAGGTTGGCTAGAAGATAGGCAAGAAGCACAAAAGGGTCCCTCAAATTCTCGTCAATTCTTGTTACATTGGGATGGTTTGAAAACTTAAAAACCAAACTAACAGAACACTGTCCTGTGACACCATTGGTTTTGCAGGGTGTGAGAAACTTTGTAGGGTTTGGGGTGGGCTTTCTTTTTTATCGAGAAGCACATGGAATGGTTTGAAATTCTAAGCGTGGTTTGCCACAATGAATGCCCTATACTGTAATTAAACCATTGGCTTAGAGGCCTGTTTGCCCTGTTTAAAGTGCTTTGTGAAACTCAGCGCTTGCCTTTTGTTGTTGTTGAATCTTTCTGACAAGCAATTGGGAGAGAGGAAGTCTCTACACTTCCCTGCTCTGCATTTAGGCAAACGCTGTGTGCACTGTCAGTTAAAAAGCACCACCCTGCCATGCCTGTTTGACTTCAGTTACAAGTGTTGGCAGGAGATGTTCAAGGAGACAACAAGAGGTGTTTAGAATCTGCAGTCCTTTGAGATTCAAAATTATAAAGCAGCCACAGAAATGAGTCAGCCTATTAAGTTAGGCCATAACCACAGCTAGCTAGAGCACTCAGACTTCCAAAGTCATGAGAGGCACACAGGCCTTCACATGCTCCATTTCTTTTGTATCCTCACAATTCCTGGGGCCACATCCCTTCCACGAAGTTTCCTAAATGAATTTTGTTGATTAACCGCTAGACACACATACAGACACACACCCCTGAATCTCAATTCTGTGCAAACGTTATAATGTTCTCAGAGTCCTAAAATTGTTAGAATTAGTTCTGTGTTTTACTGGGCAGAAAACAGTCTGTGGAAGATAGAACCTGATAGACACTTTGAATGATGCAAACTTCCACAAAGTGATAGAGGGCTGAGTGAAACCAAAGGAACTAATTAAAGGGCAGTCGTAATTTAAAAAAAAAAGCAAACTCATGAGTAGCAAGGGAAAATGCAAAACTATCAGAACTAAGTGATTTAAAATATCACAGCAAGAGATAGTGGCTAGTGAAACATGAGGAGTGAAGTGGCAGGAAGTTCAACTTTCAACTGTGTTTTAATATGCTCTTCTGGCCCTGTTTACACCTCTACTACAGTATTTCTCTGCTCCCCCTTGTAGTAAAACTCCTCCAAAGAATTGTCTCTACTCCCTGTCCTGACATCCTCATTGCCCACCCTCTCTTGAAAACACTCACATCAAACTTTTGTTCTCACCAGTCCATGCCATCGCTCTTCGTTATGTCAATGAGTTCCATGTTGCCAAATGGAGTACTCAACTCCAAGTCCTCTCCTTAACTGCCTTCTCAGCGGCATTTGCTTGCTCCTCTGCTTGAAACTGCCTTGAACCATTTTTTAAAATGTCTACTTTCAAATACTTTTAGACTCACACAGAAGTTGCAAAAATAGTTCAGAGTTCCTGTGCACCCTTCACTCAGCTTCCTCTAATAATAGCACCTTTCATAACCATGGTGCAAGTGTGCTTGAAACTTTAAAACCTGCTCTTTCATTCTTTTGACCTTCTCCTCACTTGGCTTCCATTTCCACCATCCTCCTGGTTTTTCTTCTCCTCTCAGTCTTTTGGGTGGAGACCCCTCCTCTTCCCTATATCTAAAAGTTGGCATGCCCCGGGGCTCAATCATCATACCTCTTTTTCATCCAAATTCACATCTCACATGACTTTGTCTAGTCCTATAGTTTCAGATAGCATGTATGTGAAGAAATTCCCAGATTACCATCTCCAGTGTTGAACCCTGCATTGAATTTCTAGCTTCCATATCAAACTGCTTCCATATCAAACTGTCATAACTGAGCTCATTCAAGCCCTGCCATCCAACACTTTCTCCCACATTACCTTTCTCAGAAAGTGGTTCCAGCATTCAGCCATGCACTTAGGCTGGACACTGGAATTGTCTTGGACTGTTCTCTTTCTCTCATATAACTACATTCAATCTAATAGCATACTGAATTGGCTCTAACCTTCAAAATATGACCTATGTCTGAGCAGTGCTCACCACCTCTTGTCTCTACCATCCTAGGCCAAAGCACCTTCATCTTTGTCCTAGATTATTGCAATAACCTCCCAACTGGTCTCCAGACTCCCACTCAGGCTCCCTAAAGTTGATTTTCCATATGGCAGTCAGGGATTCTTTTAAAATGCAAATTAAGTCATGGCAGTGTCTTTCCATAGATATAAAACCATTGTTTCCATAGAATACAGTCCATGGCACTTGCCATGCCCTAAAAGACCCTATAAAATCCCCCACCGTCCTCTCCCACAAACTCTCCAACCACATTTGCTTCCTTAGTTTGTGCAGCCTCCTGGCTATTCCCAGAACACCTAAGCATGTTCCTACAGTGGGCATTTGCTCTTAAGACTTCTCTCTGCCAGGAACACATTTCCCCAGCTATTCCCATTTAGGATTCTGCTCATTCCCTCAGAGAAACCTTCTCTGACCACCTTATCTGAGGCAGTACTCCCTCACCCATAGCTCTATCCCTATTCAGGCTTATTGTTCCTAATAAGAATCTGACAACTGGCTGGTTGGTTGGTTGGTTGGTTGTCTGTCTATCTATCTATCTTCCACACTAGAATATAAACTCCGGGAGAACCAGGACTTTGTCTGATTTTGGTTCACTCCTGATTCTCTGCATGACACACAGTAGGCACCCAATAAATATTTGTTGAATAAATAAATAAGCAAAGGAACAGTAAAGAACTGTACATAGAAATGTTCTCAGAAAACATAAAATATTTTGATTGGAAATGATAAAATTTGAAATCCAGGTTAAAAATATAACATTTCTACAAGGTTGAAATTTCTGTCACTTATGATGAAATCATTGTCTTTAGTCATTTCAGCCTTACTGCATAGCAAATGTCATTGATTATAAATACCCTGAATTATCCATGGGTAATTATGAGTATGTTATGTCAAATATTTCAAATGTAAAACCATTTGAGTTGGTTTACCTCAAAGAATTTGCAAGCAACTTGAAGTGATATATGAGGTCCACCAACTCCCCACTATGTAAACGAAAGAAACATGGTAAATGGTTTAATCTCTGTCCACATGACCTCCCTCCTGGGTCACTGCTCTAACAATAAATAGACTCACTTGAACAATAAAGGTGTGAGAGTTTTAAATCATATCCTTGGTTAGTTTAATGATGTTATAAATATTTTCTTCTTTTTTCTTTTTTATTTTTTGCAGTATGCGGGCCTCTCACTGTTGTGACCTCTCCCGTTGCGGAGCACAGGCTCCAGATGCGCAAGCTCAACAGCCACGGCTCACGGGCCCAGCCGCTCCGCGGCACGTGGGATCTTCCTGGACCGGGGCACGAACCCGTGTCCCCTGCATCGGCTGGCGGACTCTCAACCACTGCGCCACCAGGGAAGCCCAATATTTTCTTCTTTTATCTTTAAAGGTATGTACACATGAATTACAGATATAGACTACATTCTTATTATCTGTATTCCTCATTCTCCCTGAGGCAGTGTTCTATCCTTATGTAATTCTTATTTTTTTTTGAAAATGTCTTTATTTTGCATTTATTCTTTTTTTTTTAGCTAAATTGGTTCTTTGTTGCTGTGCACAGGCTTTCTCTAGTTGTGGTGAGTGGGGGTTGCTCTTCGTTGCAGTGCGTGGGCTTCTCATTGTGGCGGCTTCTCTTGTTGTGGAGCACGGGCTCTAGGCGTGCAGGATTCAGTAGTTGTGGTGCGTGGGCTCAGTAGCTGTGGCTCGCAGGTGTATTTGCTTCGTGGCATGTGGGATCTTCCCAGACCAGGGATGGAACCCGTGTCCCCTGCATTGGCAGGTGGATTCTTAATCATTGTGCCACCAGGGAAGTCCCTATCCTTACGTAATTCTTAAAGATAAAAGCCAATGACAGGTATATCCAAAACCAAAATATGATCTCCCTATCCTTTCTCATTATCACTTGGTAAATCAGTGCTATGTTATAACCTCTGAGAATGTGGGTCTAAATTATAATAGTATTTGGGGGCAAAATGGGCTGAGTTCCTTTTATCAATGTTCTATGGTGAAAAAATTTACAGATGCTCAAGGAAAGAAAATGTGGTCCTACGATCTCACAGCCAGAAAGTATAAAGGATGAGAACAAACAGCTTTCAGCAGGCAAGAACTCAAAAGGAATATTTTTCCCATGAGCCCTTTATGAGGATACTATTAGAGACGAACTATAACCAACCAAAGGATGACCAGGAAAACTATGACAGTTGGACAGGAAACAAACATTTAATATATTTAACGGGTAGAAAATGGAATGGAAATATTTTGATAAAATAGAAATGATACCCAAAAAAATTGTGAGAGGCAAAAGAAAAGAAAGAGAGAAAATTGTTATAAAGGTAATCAGTGGAAAAGAAAAATACAAACCTTCCTGAATAACTATACCTACATACATAAAGCAAAGAAAATAAACTACATAGTTAAATTTGTTTAGTTGTAAAAAATAAAAAGTGTAAAATAGCATGACAGATCTAAGATCATATTTATCTGTCATAATGATAACTATAAATGAATTTAATACACCTATTGTATTAGAGTCTAAGCTGTTACATCAAAGAGAATCCAAACCATAGTGGACTGAATAAAGTAAATTTTTCCTTCTTGTAAAACTTTCCAGAAATAAACATTCCAGGGTTGCTGGGAAACTCTATTCCATAAGGCAATCCAGGGACTCAGGTTCTGTCTACCTTGTAGCCTGGACACTTGTAGTATGTTGTCCTCACCAGCATTATCTAGGCTGGTTTATTATCCTCATAACCCCAAGAAAGGGGACAAAGGAAGGCCAGAACAAGTGGCTTCCTCTTTAGAAATAAAGTTGCACAATTTCCTTCCACTCATATACTTAGTCACATGGCCAAGTTTAACTGCAAGGGAGACTGTAAAATAGTGCTGGAATTCAATTCTGGCATTTCATAGAAATTTTATGTTTTTCTGAATCACAATCCAAGAAAATTTGTCAAGAACTCAGGAAAAAGGAGGAAAATGCTAATTTTTCTTGCAGGAATCAAAATCTTGCAAGATGGAGCTATTACTAATTTGAAAGAATCTACTCACATACAGTTAAAAACATAACAGGAAATGCTGACTTGTGGATTTGAAGGTTTAGGTAGACATTCCCAGGGAATCAGGACATGGGTACATATGAGGGAAGCAGTTGTAATCTAATCAGTCAGTCTTGTTTTTAGCTGTTGCTGTGTTCTGAAGAGGAGAGAGCGAGAGAGAGAGCAAAAGATGGAGACAGAGATACATAGATAGGGAAACTAAGGCTGGAGAAAGAATCATCCAAAAGGATTGAAGGAACCATTCCTTGAAGCTCACACAAGACCAAGAAGAGTTTCTGTTCTCATTATCCAGAGTGATAAACTACATAATTCAAAGGGCTTCAGGTAAAGTACTCAGAAGGCTATTGTCTTAATACTGCAGAAAAATTAGCCCTGAAATAAATGCTGCTCTGGCCCTGTCTAACAAAGCTTAAAAGCCAGGTTCCCAAAATATACAGACTGTTTCTAGGTAATTTAACTGTGTTCCAGAAGAAAGCTCAAGAATATTTATATAAATATAACAATATCAAGCACATAACAAAGTAACATTCACAATGCATAACATGTGATCAATAATCACCAGGCATACAAAGAAGAAGGAAAGTATGATTCATAAAGATGAGAAAAGCAAATCAATTGAAACTAACCCAGAAATGATACAGGTAATAAAATTAGTAGATAAGGACATTAAAACAATTACTATGTATTATTCATTTTCTTCAATAAGCTAGAGAAAAGATTGAGAGTTAAGTAGAAACATGGGAGACACGGAAGAGATCAAATCAAACTTCTAAAAATGGAAAATATATTTCTGAGATGAAAAATATACTGGATGAGATTAACAGCAGATTAGACCAGAAGAAAGAAATGATTAGTGAACTTGAAGATATAAATATAAAAATTATCCAAAATTAAACATCAAAAGAAAAACTCTGAAAAAATAAAAGTAACAGAGCATCCACCAATATACATAATACATCTCTATCCCAAATAGAGATGAACAGGAAACTAGTAACAAGAATTTGAATAAATAATGGTTGAACTTTTCAAAATTTGATGAATCTATAAACACACAGATCCAATATTCCCCAAAATGCAAGAAACATGAATAAAGCTATGAAGAACATCACAATCAAATTGCTTAGAACCAGTGAAAAAGAGAAACTTAAAAGCAGTCAGGGAAAAAAGACAAGCAGTCTTCTTGTAAGAAACAATGCAAGCCAGAAGATAGTAGAGCAATATATTTAAAGTACTGAAAGAAAAAAAAAAAGGCATCTAGAATTCTT